CAATCTAAACCTCTGCTGGCTTAACTTGAGGCCATTTCCTCTTGTCCTATCACCTGTTACTTGGGAGAAGAGACCAACCCCCACCTCGCTACAACCTCCTTTCAGGTAGTTGTAGAGAGCGATAAGGTGTCCCTGGAGTCTCCTTTTCTCCAGGCTAAACCCCAGAAGGTATCAGTAGGTTCTTGGTTTCAGTGTTTCTCAGTAACACCTCTAAATGCAGTGGGGCCAGATCCTGGTACCCAGGCACAGTGCAAATGCCAGGCAGGCTGGAGAGAGAGTAACATACCCCCCACAGCACAGGCCAGGCAAGGTGAGACAGGGCAGGGGGGCAGCTGCCATGGTCAGAGGTGCTTTCAGTAGCCAGCCTAGCCCAGACTCCCCTCTTTGTGGTCACGGGCTCTGCTGGGAACACATTATCTCCTGGCAGTGGATGAGTACGTCCCCTTTTCACCCTAACCCTTCCCCGGTGCAGGAGCGTACTTTGGGGTTGCAGTGGGTCACCGCATAGCTTAGAAGGTTTTGTATGTCAGCATGAGGCCAAATCTGCCATGGCCCTCAAGTTGCCTCTCCTGTCCTCTTTGCATGGACTTCTGTGGCTACGCTGAATCCCATTCCCTGTGACCGGGAACATGGGAACTTTCTCACTCCATCCTCAGATGGGGGACTTGGAAGACAAAAAAAAGGGCAGATCGGGCTTCCTATTTTCCTGGAAGTGTTTGTGAGCAGAAGTAATAACCCTGTCGAGATACGTGTAAGGGATAACGTGGTGGTCTCCTCGAAAGGATATGGCAGGACCAGAAAATTGCTAGAACTGTTGTTGTTGTCCCAGGGAAAGGTGGTTCCGCTCCAGTCCTTCTTCATGTAGCTGGAGAGGATTTGCCTTGCGGAGCAGTTCCTCTTCTACAGAAATTTTTTTTTGTCAGATTGGAAACCTCTGAGTTTTGCTGGATTTCTTACCCAGAGAGACCTCTCAAGTCCACGAGGGGATCAGAGGCAAAACAAGGGGTTAAGAAGTCAGCGTATTCCGTGCCAGTTGCCGGGGCAGTCCTGTGCGGTACAGGGGAAGTCTGTCCTTCTTCAGAATCAATGTCGTTGTGTGGATCAGGAGTGATCCGGAGATGGTTCCCCCGTTACCCTTGTTTTGGTTTGCATCACAGAGTGGTCTTGGACCGTGCTCCCCAGATTGCCGTAGGGTGGCACGGCAGCAGGGCTGTCCTGGTGGCTTTCAGGCCATCACTCCACACGAGCGTCCACCAGAGAGAATTGCGTGCAATGCCCTTCCGCCTTTATGCATTCCTGTACAAGAAATTGGTTTGGCCAGCCCTCGTTAAGGACTCAGCCCTGCAGCCTGTGTGCAGGCAAAACTATTTGTGCTGCCTGTGGGGCTTAGAGTCATTCTGGGTTTACTTTTGTGCTCTACTGGTTGTAGGTGGAAACTGAGTGATGAAATGACCTCCCCACAAGAGGACGTATCAGTTACTGTGTTTTCAGCGATGGATCTGATGACCTTTTGCAAGAACAGAGCTGAACAAAAAATTACTTATGAGCTAAAAGAGGGTATTAGAGCTTAGAAAAAACATATGAAAGCAATGGGTGTGTACTTTTAGAAGGAATCTGTGCTGTATCTGTAAGGCAACCTCTTGTACTTCACGTGATGCAGACTGCAAGTTGCCACTGGAGGCATTTACTGTGAAAGTGACGGTCCCTAGAACTTTGCATAAAGTTTTTTTCTGTCATATGATATGAATATATGGATTCCTCCTAACTCTTTGTGAGCATGAGAAGCAAGCGTGAGAGCAGTGAGGCAAGAAAGATGAAGATCTAACAAGATTAATTTGAATGCAAGACAAAACACATTTGTTTAAAAAAAAAACCACCTTGAAATAGGTTTCTCTTGGAATGCTGCTAAACATGACTTCATGAGTAATGCATGTTTGTCTGCTTGTCTGTTTAAAACGTATGGCTTTTTGTTCCTTGGGACCTTCATTTGGGTGGTCAACATGTGCATGGCAAGCTTCCTACAGGAGCTGGTGTGAATACAGACAATAAATATTTGGAAAGTCTTTGTTCTTGAGTGGAGGAGTGTGAAGAAGTAGGGAGCTCCCCCTTACACATCTCTGCATCATAAGCCTTGGTAAGCAATGCAATGTTCTTCCTTTCTAGGAAGCAAAGAAAAAGTTTAATTACTCTTACAGCCAAAAGCTATAGATAAATGTGAGGTCCAAGCAATAGGAGACTGGATTTGGTGAAAAGGTTGATTTCACCCTTTCATTCTTCCCAATGCTCCAGTCAACTGAGTGGGACTAACAGAGTCTTCTGCTCTTCTATGTTACCAGTGTAGATTGTGATTTTTTTTCATACATTTTGTTTTGAAAATGTGTGCCGGTTGGATGATTGCTGTGGTGAACTGAAAAAAGTCCCACCGTGGCTGTCCTGCCCAATTCGGTGAAATATTTAGTGAGGAAGGGTTATTCATTCAGCAGAACTGAACAGTCCTCCAGCTCGTGCTGTTTATAATTGAAAATGATTTCTGGGCGAGTGAGTTAATTATTTCTCTCTGTCTCACTACCCTCTACTTATTCTAAAACTGTGTATTGACCTTCAGGAACAGCTGAATTTCATCTGTGTGGTTCCTGGCATATGCTGGTTATTTTGGTTGGGGTGAATATTTACTGTTTTTCCTAGGAGGTTCAGACATAAATACAAGTTTAGAGGACCTCTGGGTAAATATGTTCATGGTTCAGCACTTTAATGTGTCAATTAGCTACTAACAGTGTCAATAAATTGGACCTGTCAAAAATAATAGCTTCCTTGCCAGTCTTCATCTCCCGCTTTACCTATGTGCTACAGGAAATACATTATGCACCACAAAAGTAGTAAAAGTCAACTTTTCCATGCCTATAGCAAAACTGAACAAAGCAGGACTGCTTTCTTCAGACTTGGGTTTTATAAACCAAGAACCACTTTTTGCAATCGTCATAAAGCCCTTTTCCTACTGACACCCCTTGGGTTTTGCCTGAGTGAAGAAAAAGGAGTAAGAACAGGGGATTTGACTCAAAAGCAGAGGTGTACCTATCACCCATGTTTGAACTGAATTGTTTGGGATTACGGTTTTATGTAACTGCTGAGAAGACTTTACTCTGCCCAATTGGATGAGAAAGGTGGTCATCTCACCTGATTTTAGGTAACCGCAATCTGGCTGTTCACTGTGAGTCACCCTAAGCTCTCTGCTGCATTTATCACGAATGGAGAAAAGGAGGTTTCTCCAGAGGGCAGCTCATCCTTCTACCATAGGAGTCTTGCCTTATAGTTCAGACTTGACATACCTAATTATAATGATAGACATTTCAACAGGCACAAATGACTCACTCTCTTATATTCCAACATGAGAGGTGTATGACAGTTACGTTTCTTTTATTGACTATTGCATTTCTTCAGCAGATGGGCTACAGAAGCACATTGCAAATGAAAGAAGTCTATGTGCTTGCCAAGAGATGTAGATAAATGGCAGTAGGTTGGGTTCGCAGACGTGCAGCACGGCACCTAATTTCAGTAGGACTGATGAAAAGGGGTGTTACGTGGTACAAATTGCTTCTTGTGTGCTGCTTGTTGCTCGAAGCTGTGAATCGACGGGGTTTCTAAAACATATTGCGTGTTCAAACATGGAGCGGTCATCCTAGGGCTGATACGCCTCCAGCGGCGGCCAAAGTGGGGGGCAGTAAGGAGAGCAGAAGGCAGCCAAGCGTCAGTGATAGCCATCTGCAGCTCAAGGACATGCTAGCCAGACACAGATTTCTCTTTAATTAATGTATCCGGTCTCTTTTCTGAATTTCTGGATCCACATATCCTGTGGATAGCATCCACATATCCCGTGGAAAGAAGTTCCACAACTTCGTTACATGAACAAGTGCACTTTTTGTTTTGAATCTGCTACCTTCTTTTTTCATTAGGTGTCCTCTAGTTCCTGTTTTAATACATTAATTTCCTATATATTAAAGACTTTTATGCAGGGTGGGTTTTTTTGTTTATTTGTTATTAGGTAAAATTGGGTGCGATAGGCAATGAGAACGTGGTTTAGCTTTCAACATTTCCACCCACCAGAGATCAAAGCTAAAAGAATGAATACCCTAGTAGTGGCAGTACATTTTCATTTAAAATGAGACCTAACAACAGGTTATGAAGAAAAACATCTTGTCGTGGTTATTCAGCTGTGCAAGACTGCGGTGTTCCACCCTATGAACGGTGATATGAGATCATCGCAGGCTTTCAATTACAAGATATTCTCGGAAGGGAGAAGAGGCCAAGCAACCCGTTGTCCTGCTGAAAGGCCTCGTCCCTGGGAGGTCCGGCTCAGAGCAGCCTCAGCCAAGCACAGCAAAATTTTGTGTGGCTAAAGCCAGACACACTTGTCCAGGCTCAAGTATGGCAGTGATTTATCTCAAAGGGCTGCTGCTGTCCATTCAGCTGAGCATGTGTTTGACCTCCCTGCGGAATGAGGGCCTTCTTGGGGGATCCAAATCAAATCAGTGGCATGTTCGGGCAGGCCCAGGACCCCAGCCAGGGTCAGTGCTGCTAGTCTGCTGCCAGTTGTATTGCATCTGCGACACACGTGCGCAACAAGACTGACATGTAAGACTGGCTTTGTGTGCAGAGAGTGGCTCTGCAACCTGTGACAGCTGCTGCTCAGAGCACGTGGTGTCGCTCTTCAAAACCTCATGGGTCCAACTTCTTGCAGATACAGTACCCAATACCACGGGATTATTTTTTGCAGCCCTGAATACCATAGTATGTTTCTTATGAGGTGAGCTCAGGTGATGAGACCCTGTGAAGGGCATACATCACCCAGGAGAATACACTCGATGGTAAGGTGACATTTCTCCAGCCAAGGTCTGATTCGGTTTGCAATAGTGAATGCCTAACGCTGCGCCGGGGGAGAGGAGCTACAGCGAAACCCGTTGTTGTCCCGATTCTCACGTTAGCCTTTCTCTTTCTCACCGCAGGTTACATCCAAGCCTGCAGAGGACTGATGATCTCCGCCATCTGCCTGGGCTTCTTCGGTGCCATTTTTGGACTGGTTGGGATGAAGTGCACAAAAGTTGGAGGCTCCGATCAGACTAAAGCAAAAATAGCTTGTTTAGCTGGACTGATTTTCATACTCTCTGGTAAATATACCTTATTTGTCTAAGTTTGGGCATTTGAAGTCATACCAGAGCTGCTCCTTTTCCACAGAAATCCGCGCACAATTCTCCATGACTTCATTGGCGTCAGGGTCAGGCTGAAAGCTCTTCTGCTGGCTCCACTGAATGGTTTGTCTTATGCTTTTCAGGGTTGTGCTCTATGACTAGTTGTTCCCTGTATGCAAACAGGATTACGTCTGAGTTCTTTGATCCTTCTTTTGTTGCACAAAAGTAAGTACTTTCCTATACCCATAAATCTTTCAAAGAAGTAGACCTTAAGTTTCACGCTGCGCACCAGAACCCATTTAACTAGAGTGGGCTGCAGCTTTATTTAATCATGATTTCCAACTGGAGTAACCGTGTGCTGAAATGTAACAAAGGAACACCTTCCCATACGGCGATTGCTCTGTACATCTTTGTGCCCAGGGTTATTGCAGCTCGGCAGTGTTGTGCCCTGCTTGCCGCAGAGCACATGGGGTTAATCAGGAGTGAAGCTTGCGTTCATGTCAGAGATGCAGCAAAAGAATTGCACAAGAGAGAGGCGCTCATTAGGCGCATCATTTGATAGGAAAGGAAGGAAATTGTTTCCTTAAGCTTTTGACAGAAGGTGGTTTCCATGAAGGTGTCGAGCACTGTGCAGTCTTGGCTCCTCTTGAAGAGAGGTTTCTGCAGGCGCTGTGGACTTTTTGCTGGCAGGTTTTCAAATCCAGATGACTGACATCATAAACCTTATTGTAACCCGTGATCTTATAAGCACTAACACAAATGCTTTGGCTGTAATTGTAATTAAATTTAAGGGAGAGAGTGTTTGTAGAATTGCAAGATCCATACCAGAAACGACGAGCATACCTAAAGACTCTTTTTAAAGCTGTGCGAGTTGTTAGGACCTACAAAGGCAGCAATTCATGAACCAGTGCTTGGATTTTTGGATTCGCATCTTAACTACCAAGTCTGAAAACGTTGGCTGTAAATTATAGCATCGCAGAGTTTCCTGTTTTGGCTTCTTACATAATGTAAAGTTATCTTTAGAGACAAGGATTTAAAAGTTTTCTTGGTGGTGATTCCAGGATACGTCAAGCATTGGGTGTACATTTCCCTGAGACCCAAGTAAGGGCTCGGTAAGGAACCCCGAGCTTTTCTGTTTCTCCTTGATAGAAAGAAAATATTCTAAATAAATAACATTAACTAGATCCACGTTTGTGGTAGGGTGTGCACTGCTTCTGTCTTGAAAGCAAGTTCATATGAGTTTCCTCCGTAGCTCTGCTATAGTTTCTGCTTGTTTGATATGGTGAGGACAGGATCAAAAGGCCTCCAAAAGAAACAAGGATGTGAGGTACTGTGAAGAAAATGGAACCTAGCTATATAGCCAGAAGTTAATTATTCATCAGGCTTACTGTTCCTAGTGAAAAATACCGTGGTTGTTGCCAGAAGTCCCTTTCCTACAGTCTATTCCTAAGGTCTTCTGCTGCAAAAGAGCAGGCAGACCTCACAGCGGAGTTTTGCTGCAAGGGACAGAGAAATCCAGTTTGAAAATTGAAGTAAAGGTAGTAAAACATGCTCTGCAGAAATTACCTTTTTTCCTGAACTACCAGCATAGCTCAGCTGTAGACACACATAATCACGACTGCAAAGATAAAGGCAGAGAGGAAAGCCAGAAGTTGTAATTTGAGTTGCGCACGGTGCCTGTAGCTCATGTAGTGGCCTTGCGTCAGATTAAGTTAATGGTGGCATTCGACTCCTTTCTCTCAACCAATGTGAAATATGTCGGAGTAATGTATTTTGTTGCCATCTGTGAACTCTTACTTTGCTGCGCATTGCAGAAGCGTTTAATATGCTTTGCTGGTATATTGTGGAAATTTGACATTGGCTCTTCACTGCCAATGTGCTGCTTTGGGTTTCAACCTTTCACCTTTTACTGCACATTTCTCTGCTGAAGTTATTCTGGCGGTGTCAAAGACAGGCTTGAGATACTGCTAGGGGAAAACAAATGGCACGAGAGGTGTAGCATCATCTCAGCCGTCAGAATTTCCCTCCAGCCTTCTGCATTTGAAAGACAAACCCTGACTATGTATGGGAGCAGGAGGAATCGGAGACCTGCTAAAGCTGTCACCCAAGAGACTTCTGGTTTGAATTATGTACCTAACTGAGGAATCACAGACACCACGGGGACATCCTAAAACCCACCTTACCTAGAAAGAAATCTTAGGCAGGACTTGATGTCCCAATGCGGTAGTTTGCCTTGCCAGTTTAAAACAGCTCTAAAGGAATTGCTTTACCCTACGTAATAACGTATGCAGAGTCTTGGGGACAGCACGGGACACCTTGGTGCTTGCAGCCAAGATGTATTTCATTTTTCTTCAGACACCTCTAATAGGGGAAAATTTGTGCTTCTGTTTTGCTGTCTTGCTAATGTTTCTCCCACAGCTTCTCTTAGAAAATCGTTTTGTCACTTTACTACTTTTAATTAAAAAACAAACAAAAAAAAAACCCAAACCCAAAACTCTTACAGTCTTTATCCATTTTGTCCGTTGACACAGTCTGAACTCCATAATCACGATCATTCTTACTGATGAATGGGGTTAGTTTATCCAAATTATCAGACTAACTTACCATTCTCTTTTATAGAGAATTGTTTCCTTTCAGCTTTCTTGTCTCCAAATGGATTGTGCACGGTTCACACAGGCCCTCTTGCCACTGTCCCTCTGTGACGTTTGAATCTATTTTTAATTTTCCAAGAATCATAAGAATTAGGCATTCAAAATGAGTATTTCCCTTGGGTAGTTGTGTAGATAGGGATGTCCTTTACAGACACTGACATCCAGTTGGCTAATGAGGCTTCCACTGGTTTGCTTGGGAGTTGGCTTCATGGTTCTAATGTATGTAACAACTAGAATATTTTTCTTCTGTGCTGATATTATACTTTTTTTCATTTCACTGAATTCTGCCTCCCTGGATTACGGTGAAAAATCTGTTCTTAGCCATCTTGGTCAGTGTAGTTGAAGGTGGCTTTCAGTTCACTGCAGTTGAATTCTCTTAGTCTTCAGCAGTCACGACCTGCAGCCTCATCATCGGTGTCCCACTCCTTCCCCGAGCTGCCAGCGGTCTCTAAGCGATCTGTCAGCAGATTGGTTTCACTGATTGGAGACAGCAGAGACACAGCCACAGCCTTCGGAGAGTGGCTGCCTTGGTTCTTGCAACCAAGAATTACAAGAACAGAAGAGTGTGTTTCCTGCAAAGACTTTCATGACAGAGGGAAGGGGAAAACGTCAAGTGCAGAAATTTCTTCTAAAAAAGCCTTTCTCCTTTGTTTTTTTTAATATATGTGCCAACGTATATAAGGGTTTTTTTCATATGGTAAGGTTTTTTTACGTACTGGGTTTTGATGGGAGGTTAGGGTTGGCTTCTTAAATGCTGAAAAGATGGATTGGATAAAAAACAGGGAGCCATACACAGATTGATATGCAATTAAAAATTTGAAATTTTCCTCATAAACACCAGTGTAAATCAAAAAGTCTTTTATCTGTTTAAAGGTGTGGAGGAAAGACCAATTAGACCAGCTCTGCAACTCATTAACCTAGCAGTGTGGCAGTCACTCCAGAAGGGCCCATACATACACTCTGTTTATGCATGTTACAATAACAAACGTGGTTTAAAAAATACAACCAATCCCAAGAGCAAAGGCTGGGCCCCAAATCTTCTTTCCCAGCTAGTAGGGTCTTTTCTACCCAATTAAACCAAATGGAATCTTGATTGCTTGAAGAGCTTCAGGAGGGGAGATGGCAGTTGTTCTAATCTCTCTCGCATGAGCCTCTGGCCAACCGTTTGATGTTGTTAGGTGGAAATGTGGAAACAAACTTGTGTTTCCCACTTTCTAAGCAAAGGGTCTTGGCGAGTAAGTTGTTATAGCAACAACTTTCCTGGGTCTTGGTCGAGCTGTGTTTTCCAGCACTGTGGTGGTCTGCCCTGACTTTTGTGGGGAGCCAAACCCAGGTCCACATACCTTAGGTGTGCTCTGGCAGTACCTCTGGGGCTGGAGGGATCTCCAGGATGGGGTTTACCTCACATCGCAGTTAGCCACTTTGATCTGCCTTTACAGCTTGTTAAAAGAGGTGCCTCGAGGGTGTTTTAGAAGTGTACTTTATGTTTTTTGCGTGTTGACTCTAACGGGATCTGAGGTGATGAGCTCCAATGTAGGTGTCTGCTTCTAATCAGGGAACCCCCAATCCTTGAACAAACAGAAATCTGCTCAAGTCTTGTGAAAACTGTAGCACGTGGTTGGAAACGTGAACATAGTTAGACTTAAAGCTTCACAGGTTTGACAAATTTTGAAGTCAAACAGGGCTGGATGCAGAGTTTTCCAGGATGAAAACTGAGCCATGGCTTCCAGCAGTTTAATTTGGGGTTTGGGTGCCTAAGTCCCACACTGGGTATGGAGAATGTTTGGGGGGATCTGATATTTTTTTTTTTTACCAATGGATGATAAATAAAAGTTCTGCTGAGATGATGTGAATGGAAAATGAAAAAGAAGCCTAGAAGTTAGAGCACTAGCGGGGCCATGAAGAGTCAGGTGCAAACCCTCGCAAAGTGTCCCACCTCTGACCTCCAATGTCTCCCTCTTTTTGGCTGAGTCAGGAATTACATGAACCTGGGTGTCCCTAGCATCCGGCACTGGTATCGTAAGTGTGGATGGGGGACAGGGGCCTGTGTTTTCGGCACAGGATCTTAGTCATCAGGAGGAGATAAAGGTTTCCTCAAGGAGGCAGCTGGAATAGAGAAGAAGGAGCAGAAGACACTGTCCTAATAGTGAGGAATATGTAGTGATAGGACGAGGGGTAATGGCTTCAAACTGGAAGAAGGTAGATTTAGATTAGATATTAGGAAGAAATTTTTCACTCTGAGGGTGGTGAGGCATGGGTACAGGTTGCCCAGCAAAGTTGTGGAGGCCCCATCCCTGGAGGTGTTCAAGGCCAGGCTGGATGGGGCTTTGAGCAACCTGGTCTAGTGGAAGGTGTCCCTTCCCATGGCAGGGGTGTTGGAACTAGGTGATCTTTAACGTCCCCTCCAACCTAAACCATTCTATGATTCTATGATTCTGTGAATATGAGACTCTGGAGACTGTTGGGCCTGTGGTCTAATGCAGGTCATCCTGGAAGTGTTGTAAAGAATGGCACCTCAGGCAAAGAGCTGGGGAATGGAGCAGACAAGTGGCAGGCATGGCTTGCCACTTGTCTTGAAGCTCCAGAGCTCAGGTTATGGGGTGCTGAGCTCAAGCAGGGGGAGGAAAAGAATGTCTTCCCCATGCCCTTCTTTTCCTTCATGTACTACTGGTGCTTTAGAAACTTGGACTTACCCTTGCATGATAATGGTCCTGAGGCACCACCATCTCCTCTGGCAGTCAAACTGAGCAGTTCCTGGCTGCAAACAACCAACGGCCGCCCCAGCTGGCAGAGGGGACTGTGGCGGGTGGCCCAGAGCTGTGGCCTCAGAGGGGAGCTGTGTCTTCCATCCGGAATCCAGCCACAGGGAATAGAGAAGGGAAAAGTCGCAGGCGCTGGCATGTGTACATACACACATGTACATGTGCATGTATGTGCGTATCTCAGATACATCCGTATATGCATATATTGCACATGCATGTGTGTGTATATATTGCATCTGCATATGATACGGTTGTACAAACCCCTCCTGTTTTAAGCAGGCTGGAGTGTGGGCAGGGAGGGGGGAGACATCCTGAGAGCTGGAGGGGAGGGTGAAGGTGAGTTGTAGGCAGCAGCTCGAGTCACCAGCTGAGCCAAAGCCCCAGTCCAGCTTGGGAGCTGGTGGGAACAAACCCGGAACAGTCTAAGGGGATGGGAGCTGTAAATGGGCCAAAGAATCGCGTAAGGCCTCCCCCAGCCAAGGGATCCGAGAGGAGATGTAGAAAAGCCAGGTACCCCGGTGGGCTGCATGGGGAGAGCAGCATTGCTCACACGTACCGCAGGGACAGAGTTCGCCTCCGTCGGTAGGAGGGAAATAATGAAAAGAACATGGGTGAGCAGCAGAGCTGCTGGTTTTGCAGTGAATAATGGGTATGTCAATGGAAAGTTGTTCAGGAAAAAATAAAATTTAGTTCCTTTATTCTGAAAAAAAACCCTGTTAAATACATGTTCTCTTTTGTTAAACCCATTTATTAACTTCCTGTAGGTATGAATTAGGAGCAGCTTTGTTCATTGGATGGGCTGGAGCTTCACTCTGCATAATTGGTGGCAGTATATTCTGCTTCTCAATAGCGGAAAACAGTAGTTCTCCAAGGTAAACCACAAGTTGTACTTACTGAAAGAAATCAATACTAGCGCATTTGTGCCTGCTATATACGTGTGCGGTTTGATTACTTTTCCAAAACACTTTGCAGCGAGGTTCAGAAGAGGATTGTGTGGATGAAAGAAAATAATGGGATTTAAAGATAATGTTCTGTCCATCATTAATGTAGTTGAGAAAAGCTATTGACTCAGAACAAATACTTGTGTTACATATACTTGATAAATTTACTACAGCTGGAAAAAAAATGCATTCACTGATGTAGGAAAAGTGGTCGGGTCACCTTATAAGTTTCTTTAATCCCAAATCATTAGATCAAAAGTGAGAGAGGTGAAGGACAGCAGTGGTGGCAGTGGGACTTCCAGCAGTGGAAGAGAAGTGATAATGAAGAGGTGCAGCTGGAGGGAGTCACTGCTTACCTAGGATCTGCCACAGCCTCAGTATTTCATGACTGAGCCCTAATTTACTTAGCTGTGAACAAGAGATGTGTGTTTATAGACAAGTGAATTGCAGAGAGAGATGCTGGAGGGGCAATGTCAGACCAGAATGAAACCACAGAGGCAAGGAAGGTGTGTTCCCCTGCCCTCTCCCCTGAAATTTATAGGTACGTTCCTATACATTTCTTCTAGTTTTATATGACTATAACGCTTGGATGCAGAGATGTTACCTGTCTGTGGGATGAGCTGTAAGTGGCTGACTCTCTTTTCTTTTCAGGAGGGGGTATGCATATAATGGAGCCACATCTGTGATGTCTTCTCGTACAAAGGTCCACAACAGTGTCCCGGACAAAACCCCACCAAAGCACTTTGACAAGAATGCTTATGTTTAATTGTACTGTTGGAAGATTCAGAGCGTTTTAAAAATGAGTTTGTACCCTCAGAGTGATTTACCCCCCAACCCCAATGTAATTACCACTAAGACAATGACTTTTTAAAACATTAACTTGCAGCTTTTTACATATTGATGTAAATTTTATTATATAATATTTTAAGATTGATGTTGGTATTGTAAAGTTTATACCTGGAAATCATGAGCTGATGTTGCTTTCTTGAAAAAAAAAAAATAAAATAAATGGGGTATTTACCAACTCGGTATGTCGATCGCTTATGGGAATGGCATCACACGCATCATATCGACGGCAGTGTGTCATTGCAACCATTTCTGAAATGGGTTCAGGACTGGGCAAAGCAGCCGTACTCTGTGCAGGTTACTATGTGAAATATCTTGCCACTGATCAGCAGTGACATTGGAATTGCAGGGCACATCGTAACTGCGGGGCCAGACGATTGTTTTATAGTTTATACCTGGAAATCATGAGCTGATGTTGCTTTCTTGAAAAAAAAATAAAATAAATGGGGTATTTACCAACTCGGTATGTCGATCGCTTATGGGAATGGCATCACACGCATCATATCGACGGCAGTGTGTCATTGCAACCATTTCTGAAATGGGTTCAGGACTGGGCAAAGCAGCCGTACTCTGTGCAGGTTACTATGTGAAATATCTTGCCACTGATCAGCAGTGACATTGGAATTGCAGGGCACATCGTAACTGCGGGGCCAGACGATGACAGTCCGTGGGAGTCAGCAGGCTCTTACCTCCTTAGTACACTGCCAGGGTTGACGAACGTGCAACTTGGTCAATTTGGTGCCATAGGAATAAGAAGAGGAAGAGACTGGGTGAATCACAGGTTGGTAGGGGTTGGAAGGGACCTTTGGAGATCATCCAGTCCACCCCCCCTGCGAGAGCAGTTCACCTACAGCAGGTTGCACAGGATCACATCTGGCCATTTTTTGAGTATCTCCAGAGAAGGAGCCTCCACCACCTCTCTGGGCAGCCTGTTCCAGTGCTCTGTCGCCCTCGAAGTAAAGAAGTTTTTCCTCATGTTCAGATGGAATTTCCTTTGTTCCAGAGTTTGTGCCCATTGCCCCTTGTCCTGTCACTGGGCACCACTGAAAGGAGTCTGGCCCCATCCTCTTGACACCCACCCTTTAGATATTGATAAGCATTGATGAGATCCCCGTGCAGCCTCCTCTTCTCCAGGCTGAACAGACCCAGGTCTCTCAGCATTTCCTCATAAGAGAGGTGCTCCAGTCCTTTGATCATGTTCGTAGCCCTCCACAGGACTCTCTCCAGTAGTTCCCTGTCTCTCGAACTGGGGAGCCCAGAACTGCACACAGTACTCCAGATGTGGCCTCACCAGGGCAGAGCAGAGGGGGAGGATGACCTGCTAGCTGTGCTCTTTTTAATGCACCCCAGGAGACCATTGGCCTTCTTGGCCACAAGGGCACATTGCTGCCTCGTGGTCAACTTGTTGTCCACCAGGACTCCCAAGTCTCTCTCTACAGAGCTGCTTTCCAGCAGGTCAGTCCCTAACCTGTGCTCGTGCATGGGATTATTCCTCCCCAGGTGCAGGACCCTACACTTGCCCTTGTTGAACTTCATTAGGTTCCTCTCCAGCCAACTCTCCAGCCTGTCCAGATCTCACTGTATGGCTGCACAGCCTTCTGGTGTGTGAGCCACCCCTCCCAGTTTTGTGTCACCAGCAAACTTGCTGAGGGTACACACCGTGAAGTGAAAGTAAGCATGGGATTTCAGGAGGCAGGAGCAGGACTAAGAAGTCAGGGCCAGTTGTTACAAGAACAGTCCCTAGAGAGGGTCTTCCACAGCCTAAGAACACCCGCATGAGAAGAAGAATGCACGCGTGATGGCGAGCAGTCCTGTGCATGGCAGGGACAGCAAAGGTTGAGGCTGCAGCCTTTGGAATTTTCACAGAATCACAGAATTTTCAGAGTTGGAAGGGACCTCTAGAGATCATCTAGTCCAACTCCCCTGCTAAAGCAGGATTGCCCAGAGCACATTACTCAGGACTGCATCCAGGTGGGTTTTGAAAATTTCCAGAGAAGGGGACTCCACAACCTCCCTGGGCAGCCTGTGCCAGTGCTCTGTCACCCGAACTGTAAAGAAGTTTTTCCATGTGTTGGAACAGAACTTCCTATGTTCCAGCTTGTGCCCATTGCCCCTCGTCCTGTCACTGAGAACCACTGAGAAGTGTGTGGCTCCATCCTCCTTCAACCCACCCTTTAGATATTTGTAAGCAATAATAAGGTCTCCCCTCAGCCTTCTCTTCTCCAGGCTCAAGAGTCCCAGCTCTCTCATCCTCAACCACATTTTGTGGTGGGCAAGACAAGGCCTGGAGACAGTTCCTACATTCTGCATTAGCGGTGTGGCGCTGAGCTGCCGCCCTGCCTCAGCACTCAGCCCTGGGGGTGACAAGTCACCTCCAGGGGGTTGTTTTCGTTCCCTCCCGTTCGGCAGAGTGCCGGGACACCTCTGGCTCCGGAATGGCTCCGAGCCATTGGGGTTTCCAAAGGCAAGGAAAACCCCCAGGCAATAGCAGCTGGCCTGCTCTGCCAGTGACGTTCCTGAAGGGCTGACCAAATAAAAGCAGGCGATACTTAACAGCACTATTTTAGATAATCTTGAATTAGTTACAACAGTTCAAAAATTCAGCTAGTACCTTTTTTATTTTTAGGCCAGTCCACAGAAATGTGATGGCTTTTGAGGGAGTATTTGTACACTGATTCAATAGATTATATTAGAGATTATGAAGATCCAAAAAAGGCTTTCTAGAGGGAGACCCTAAAATCAGACACAAACTCGGGTCTGTCTTGAGGTTTGAACTGATGGACCCTCGGAGTTTCAATACATTGGTTACTTTTGGACAAAGATTTAAATATAAAAAATGCATAGTCCTATTTATTAGTAGGCACAGTATGATAGAAAAGGTCTTGTATCTGATACCATCTGAAATACATCAGAATTACAAAGCCATTCGAGGTTCTTTTTATTTTACCTTATTTTTGTATTTTTGTATTTCCTTTAAGTCACAGCACTCTTGTTTTAAGAAGGCAGCCAATATGGACAAGACAGAAATACGAAAGTACTTGCGCAAGGGCAGGTTAGTACTTTCCTCACCTTAGCTTGACATTTGAATTTTTTTCCAATTTTTGTGCTTTTATGTTAACTAAGACTCAACTCTAATAAAAAAAAAAAAACAAAACAAACTTTCCAAAATAGGAGGCATTTAATAATAACTGGATCCATAGCTGAGGCCTTTTTTTCTTTTTATTTGGTGTTTATTGTAAACCATGTTAGAAACGTAACATTTTAATACATGGAAATATTTTCTTTAAAATGTTCACAATTTTATATAAAGTTTATGATAAAATCCAAGAAAATGTGCATGTAAAAATTTTATAAAGTAATACTCTGGAGTAAATTCTGTTCATTGGTTAACAGGCTTTCTTGCCAGACCAGTTTCAATCTTTAATGTAAACATTAGAGGCAAAATCTTCACCTCAGTGAAATCAAAGAGACTTTCAACATTTGAGTTCATGAGAAAGAAGAATTAACTCTCAATTTCCAAACAGACACGGACACTGATGTATATATGAATATTCTTGTTCAAATGCAGGACTGAAAGACACAAAAGCTCTGTAAACACTATTCCTTGTTCATGACCGATATGAGAAACGAATAGGAACCACTCGATGTTCTCAACTATGTTGTCAACCTCAACAGCACCCGGTAGCAGTAGTGCCTCCCCTCAGAAATGCAACAATTAGATATCTGAAGAATCACTCCAGTCTGTTACAGTGACTAAGCTGCTTTTTAACGTGCTTGTATTATCAGCTTCATGAGGGCCTGTTAAAATACCAAAAAAATATTAAAAATTATGAATAATATTTCGGGGATATTTTTACTTTGTGTTTATCTATGAGATAAAATTACATGCTGTGTGAGCAAACACCTGTGGACTTCAGGAAGTCCAGAATTTCAACTAGTGAGGAAATTACAAGTGTTGATAATATGAAGGCTGTTTCTGTCACAGAATACAATGCAGAGTACGAGCAGTCAGTGTCGACATTACTTTCCCTTTAAAAAGAATCCAAAGTATCTTTATATAACTGACACAGCTTTAGGTATATTGAAATGTTAGGGCTAGAAACTACTATATAAGTTCTATGTAAGATTGAGGCTATTACTTTACCAGTAGCTCAAACAGTTATCTCAGCCTGGTAGGTCACTCAGATATCTTGAACAAACCCGGAATTTTATTACTATTTTTAAGACAAAGTAGGAAAGTTTCCCTCCTCCCTTAAATTTGGCAAGGGATTAAAAAAAAAAAATCCTGGATGATTAATTTTTAAGATGAGGTTGAAGTCTGACAGTATTGTATGCTTCAAAATCTCAAATTTAAGTTTCTTGGCATCTCTGCGTGTTTATTTGTGCGTGTCGTTTACGTATAAGTATATATCATATATGTTTTATATGACATAAACCCAAGCAGACAGTTTTTCTTACTTGTTGTTTTCTTACAAAATACCATATGGTGAATTGGATTGTGTAATACGCTATACGTAAGTTCTCCTCTAGGTATGTCAGTCACTTAAGGCTTACAATGCAGAAGTATGAATACGTTACCTTCCTCCTTTGGTACACTTCTCTTCGGAAGACCCCATGCATGTACCACAGACGCAGCATTTGATTCATTTTTTGGAACTGTCAGTGCCTTCTGACCTCTATCATCTTTCATCAATAAAAAGTCTTCTACTGATGATATATCCCAGTCGTCTTCATCAACTTCTGTGAACTAACAGGGAGAAGAAAAAACATGCATTTTTCCTGTGTCCGTTCGGGTTGTGCTGAGTTCTTCCATAAACTCAACAATGTGAAACTGCTAAAGAAAAATGCACTGGCACATGGTCTGTATGACATCTATCACCACAGTTTTAAAATCCACATAATCCAGTACCTAAATATATTAATTGCTTATTATAGTTCCTAAGCTAAAAGTGGTTTTATTATTTTTTTTTTTAAGTTGGGAACTGCGAAAGTTCAAAGTTCGTTTTCAGGTATTGCACGTCTAACTTAAAAAAGGATTGTCTTTTCTGGGATGTTAGCTATTCCAATGACATGGAAAGTCCTTTAAGCATTAGAATGTATATTGCTTACATGAAAATAAAGACACGACATATTAGCAGTTTAGTTAGCTATATAAGCATTCTGCATTCACACTAG